CCATATTCTTGCCCCGAAATGGCTACTGCCGTTCCCTTCACACAGGAGGAAACTGTAACGCAGCACGATTTGATTTTTTGCCCAGCGTCCTGCGAGCACAAAGCGGCAGAGCCAAGATTTGAACCAGGTTTATCTGGACCCAAAACCATGGCTTCTGGAAGCTGAATTAGAGGGTTAGGTCTGTGAGATCCAGTGCTGAGTTGATCTGCAGGATAATCACACTTTGTGGACGTGTGTGGTGTGTGTGTGTACGTGGTATGTGGTTTATGTGCGGCGCGTGTGGTTTGAGGTATGGATGTGTTATGTGGAGTGTGCGAAGGTATGTGTGGTGCATAGCGTGGTATGTGTGTGGTAGATGGCGTGTAATGCAGTGCGTCGAGTGCTGTGGTATATGTGTCATATGTGGTGTGAAGTGTGTGTGTGAGGCATAGCGTGGGAGGTGTGTGCTGCATGGTGTGCACTGGAGGGTGTCCTATGTGGTGTGTGTGCGAGTGGTGTGGCGCGTGTGGTGGGTGGTGCGTGTGGCGCGTGTGGTGTGGCGCGTGTGGTGGGTGCGTGTGGCGCGTGTGGTGTGGCGCGTGTGGTGTGGCGCGTGTGGTGCGTGTGGTGTGGAGTGTGTGGTGGGTGCGTGTGGCGCGTGTGGTGTGGAGTGTGTGGTGGGTGCGTGTGGCGCGTGTGGTGTGGCGCGTGTGGTGTGGCGCGTGTGGTGGGTGCGTGTGGCGCGTGTGGTGTGGCGCGTGTGGTGCGTGTGGTGTGGAGTGTGTGGTGGGTGCGTGTGGCGCGTGTGGTGTGGCGCGTGTGGTGGGTGCGTGTGGCGCGTGTGGTGTGGCGCGTGTGGTGGGTGCGTGTGGCGCGTGTGGTGGTGTGGCGCGTGTGGTGTGGCGCGTGTGGTGGGTGCGTGTGGCGCGTGTGGTGGTGTGGCGCGTGTGGTGGGCGCGGTGGCGCATGCGTCCTAGGGACAGTCTTCAACCTCCTACCCGCCTGGAAAGCCCAAGCCGCAGGGGCTTCTGGGAAGCGCTTGGCTTCGAACCGGGCAAAGGTCGTGGAGCCGCCCTGCCGCGGCCCAGCGCTGCCACGGCCGTGACAGGTAAGCGACCTGCTGGGAGTCTGCGCCTCCTGCGTCAAACAGGGTGAAGGAAGGTCCGCTGAGCGCCTGGCGGTCGCCGGCCCGTGTCCCTGCCGTCGGCTCCCCGGGGGCCGCACCGCCGCCGCCTCGGCTCACCCGGACTACACGCCCTACCTGGCCTCGGGGCTGCCCAGCGCGTGGGCCGGAGCGAGCCGCAGCCGACGCGGCAGGTGCCCCCCGCCAGCCCCTGCACCGGGACTCCAGAGGCGCTGCGTCGCCGGCCCCGCCGCATCCCCTGCCTTGTCCTCGGGGACAGTCGCTGCCGACCTCCGCCTGCCCCTCGGCCGGAGCACTCGGTTCCCTTCAGCCTTTGGTCTTCGAGCAGATGCCGTTTTCTCCGTGACGGCTTCTGGAACACGCCTCGTGGATTGAGGCCGTGGCCGCAGGCTCTCCTCACCCCCGGTTCCTCACCAGGACCCCCCCCCCATGGCCGCCTGACGTTCGGGCGCCCTGCTCACCCCCGGGCTCTCCGTGGAGTACTAGGCCCGCAGAGCCACGACCCCCCTTTGGCCCCCTGCTGTACCTCGAGAACCTAGAAACCTGCCGGCACCTGGCAGGCGCGCGAGGCGAGCCGCAATTGCTGAATGACGGCGGGTCTCGTCATTAGGTGAAGCGTGTGGGAGGAGTCCAGGTGGAAGGCGCTTGGTTTTCCGAAATCCCGGAGGAGCAGGCTGGCCCTAGAAGGGAACGTGAGGGGCACCCGCCTGGGTCTCCGCTGACCACGTGATCACTGGCACTCGGATCCACGGCCTCCAAGCGGAGGCCACCAGACAGCCAGCGTCCTCAGCCCTGCACACTCTTCCTGTCCTCCTCCCCTGAGCACGTCCCCGGCCTCCCACCGCCCCAAATCCTACCAGCTTCTCATCACTCCCCACCCCACCCCCAGTTCCCCGTCTCCTATGCCTGAAGGAAGCTCCCACTTCGGAGCCCCTCCCCCACCCCCAGCACAGGCAAGCAAGGTGTTCCCAGGGTCAAGGGTGCTAGTAAAATCCGCAAAAGCAAGCTGTTTTGGCCTCAGTGGGCCAAGGCCACTGCCTCTTTCCACTCTGGCTTGCCCTGGGTAGGGGCAGAAGAGCGTCTGTGTTAGTCAAGGTGGATAGGATATCTGTGGAAATACTAGAAGAGGAGCTTCAGTATAGGGATCTGCTCGTGCAGTCATGGAGGCTCAGAAGTCTCACGATCTGTCATCTGTGGGCTGGAAACCCCCAGAAAGCTGGTGGTGTCATTCAATCGTGGCCAAGGCCTGAGAGCAGGGGAGTTGGTACCCCAAGTCCTGTTCAGAGACTGAAACCAGAGAACTGGGAGCCCCGCTATCAAAGGGCAGGAGAAGAGAGTGAATTCACTCTTCCTCTGCCTTTTTGTTCTTTTTTTTTTTTTAAGATTTTATTTATTCATGAGAGAGAGAGAGAGAGAGGCAGAGACACAGGCAGAGGGAGAAGCAGGCTCCATGCAGGGAGCCCGATGTGGGTGGGACTCGATCCGGGGTCTCCAGGATCACGCCCTGAGCCAAAGACAGGCGCTAAACCACTGAACCCCCCCCCCCCCCCGGGCGTCGCTGCCTTTTTGTTCTATTCAAACCCTCAGTGGATTGGATGATGTCCGCTCACATTGGAGAGAGCATCTTCTTTGCGCAGTCTATTTGATTCAAATGCGCATCTCTTCCAGAAACACGCTCATAGACATACCCAGAAATAATATTTTATGAGACAGCTGGGCATCCCTTAGCTCTGTGAAGTTGACACATAAAATTAAGCATCCCAGTGTCCCCTTCTCCCTCCAAATTTCCTGTTCTTCCTAGAACTTCAGAATATGACCTTATTTGGAAATAGAGTCTTTGCAGACGTAACTAGCTAAGGTAAGGTAAGGTCATACAGGAGTAGGCGGACCCTTAATTCAGTATGACTGGTGTCCTCATAAGAAGAGGAGAGCAGACACAGAGGCACAGGAGAGATTACTACGACAGAAGCAGAGATGGCAGGGATGGGTGTACAAGCCCAGCAACACAGGGATTGCCAGCAACACCGGGGGTTAGGAGAAGCAAAGTGGGATCCTCCCCTAGAGCGTTCAGGAAGCAAGCATGGCCCTGCCAACGCGCGGATTCCAGACTTTTAGCCTCCAGGCCCGTGAGAAAATAAGTGTTTGCTGTTGGAAGCCCCCTAGCTCGCGGTAACCTGTTACAGCAGCCCCAACATCGGTCGCATTAGAATGGCCACATGGGAACCAGCAAAGAGGAAGTGGAGTGGGGGACACTTTTAGGTTAGATTCAGTGGGACACCTTGACGTGATTCATAGTTGCTTCCTATAAAGTTTGGTCACCGCAGACCACAAGGGCTGGGAATAACAACCCATTGTACAAACTCACCCGGCTTGCACCATGGAAGTGCGGGACAAGAGGTCGTATCCTAGTGTTAGCAAGATTGCTGGATACTGGAAGCCAGTGGTGGTGGAAGTAAAACAATACTGGAAATAGGGCAGGAAGAGAAGCCGTCCGATGATCCAACATGTAAATTGCCTAAATAGGAAGCTCTGTGCTCATGAACACCTAGTCGAAACAGAAATTCTCCGCCATCCACAACACAGTCAGGAATGCACCATTCACAAGTATATAAACACGCCATAATTTTTTCTCTCTTTTGGTGGGAACTGTACAAAATAACATTTATCCAAATTTCTGCCTTTGTAGAGCACAGATCTGTAGTGGTTCTAAAAATAGTGGGTATAGCTTTGTGTGAGGTCACATGATTAATGCAAACCACTTATGGATCATCGTCTCTACAGAAAATAATACAAAATCACTGTCCTGTGCAGAGGCATTCAAAGAGCACACGGCTTAAAGGTGTTGGGGAAAAAGTATTATGGAAATGTGTTGGGCAAGGGATTAATAGAAATACGTTATTTTTTAGATCTCTGTGTTATTTGTGATATTTATCAGCTTTTAAAAATTTGTGACTTTATTACTTTCATGCTCAATTTTGTTTTCATGTTTTGTTCTTGTCTTCATAAAGGGTTTCCAAATTGTACATGCTTCGGGCGTCACAAGCCTGGACCCACCACGGCCTGTCTACCTCCTTTCGGAAACACAATCTCTGAATTCAGCACCAACACTGAACACCAGGTGAGTTTGGACACTGTGTCCATCTGTATCTGAGCGGCTGTGAAATCACTTAATGGCAATGAATTGAGTCAAAAGATCCCTATTATTGTTACAGCTCCCCCTCTGTGTGACAAGTCAGTTAACTTCACTGAGCCTCAATCTCTGCCCCTGAAAATGGGAATATTGGTGCAAATCCTGCTCTACTTCTTCAAACCAGAGATTTGAAACTAAATGAATCGTATATACGTCACAGTGGGGAGAGTGCTTAGAAAACTGGGCAAAGTTGGGGGGATGTTTTCTTGTTTAGCCTAGAAAAATGGAGGAAAGGTGGAGGGAAAACCCATCCATAATTCTAACACCTAATGAAACCAATATTAACATGTTAATATATTCCCCTTGAGTTTTTTCTATGTTATCTTTCTTTATACGGATCACACTGGTTACACAATTTCACATCCCACTTTTACCTCTGAACACGGCATCGTAATCATCTTCCCATTCCACTGGAAATGCTTTGGAACCCATAAGTATCGCTGTGACAATTAATTTCTGGATGCCTTAGTTCCTCCATCTAAATGGACACCATGTGCAGCTAAGCCAAGTGAGTGCGGTGCCCTGTCCTGTCTTCAGTCCTTGGGTGGAAGGCCTTATGGGGGTTCAGAGTAACCTCGGCACTGGGGAAGTCATTGAGGTCTCAATTTCATGGACAGTAATGCTGGAATGGGAGAGGAGGACCCAAGGGTCTTGTTCTGGGTGTTTCTGGCAGGTGATGGACGGAGAGGCCACACCCATTTAACCCAGCTCCTTGAAGGCAGAGATTGGGCCCATTCTTCTTTGTAGACCCACAGCAGGGCCCAGTGATGGAAGGACCAACAGACAGAGGGATGGCCAACCCCTGATGGCAGACTTGATGGGAGTTGGCAGGGCAAGCCACCCAAGCAAGGCTCTCCTGTGGGCCGAAGGCAAGGCTCTAATCTCCCATGAAAGCCCTGCAAAGTGGGACTGGCTCTGGGCCGAGAAAGGCTTCCCCCCAAGACACCACTGGCTCTGCATGGGGCTCAAAACAAGGGGCTGGAGACAAAGGAGACCCTCAGGAGAAAAAAAGACCCCCGCCCCCAAGTCTGATGGAAGACTCAGGGGACCCACCAGCCTGAGGAAGGGGGGATCCCATGATGGACAGAGGAGCCCTCACGCCTTCCTGACAAGAAAGAAGGGCACCGCTGTGATCCTGCAGCCCTCCTCCACCATCCTCTCTGAAGGCGACGTGTCCTCACAGGCTACAGCCCACCAGCTGAAGGTCAGCCAGGGCCAAGGCCACCGCGGGGGGTTCTGGGAACAGCACAGCCAGCTCCCCGCTCGCCTGCTACCCCAGGCAGTGTGAGACTCACTGTCCTCCCACACAGCAGCCATGAGGGCCAGATACTACAGGGTGCCCAAACTTCAAGAAGAGTTTGCTTCTGCTCAGGCAGGAAGACAGGAAAAGTGGGGAGACACTACCAGTCGGTGGGTGCCAAGGGATCACAGCCCGAGTGTGTGTGAGCCTCCTTAGTCCTCAGGGGTTTTATTGCCCATTTCACAGATGAGGAGACTCTGGGGAGGGGAGCTTAGGGACCTGGCACTTGCCCCATGGGCGGAGGAGACAGAGTCCAGGCCAGGGCCGAGGTGGTGACAGCCAGAGGGCGTCCCTCCAGGTGTGCGGGTTAACCCTGCCTTTATGTGGGGGGGTGTGCTCAGCACCCCCCTAAACCCGGAGCTCAGCAAGGGGAGAGTCACGTCTCATCCGGGCGCCTTGTAAATGTTCCACGAGTGAATGAGGACTCAGTTGTGGAGGCAGGAAAGGTTTGACGTAGCCAGATCTACAAGTGGGTCAGGGAAATGCATGGAAATGTCTCCACAGAGACAGACCCTGAGGACTGGGTAGCTGTCGGGAGTGGGGCCGAGAGCCCCCACCGAGGCACGACCCCCAGAGCCTTGCCTGGCTTCTGCCCCTGGCATCAGTGCCTCCACCCTCCACTGTGAAATGGGGATAATTAAGGAATTCCACGGCCATTCTGTGTGGATGAAGTGAATTAACGCCCATGAGGCTCTGAGAGGAAGGCCTGACCCAGAGCAAGCGTGCTGTATGGGTTTGCTGCTCTCGTTTGTGTACCCGCCAGCCAGGCGTTGGGTCCGGCTTTGGGGAGACGGTGAGAAATCAAACAGAACTCACACAGTCGGTGGGAGGAGATACACCATCCAACCTGGAATCACAGACCGCAGGCCTTCATCCTGGGCTCCTGAGGCCAGGGCTCCTCAGTGACTGCCTGTGGGCCTGGGTGACAGCGCCCAGCTCGGCATTCAAGGCTTCTGCCCACCGCTCTGCTGCCCTCCCTGTGCACCCCTGCACTGGAGGCTGGGGCGCTCACTCACCTGCCTTCCCAACATCCGCTCTTGCTTTTCTGGCTTCGATCACTCTGTTCCCTCCTTTGCTTCTTATCCACCTGGTGAGCTCCTACTCGTCACTCTGGACCCAGTTCAAGTGTCTGCTCACTGCCACTCTTTCTGTCCTGTGGTCAGCCCATGGCTGCATGTCCATCTGCTCCAGTCCATGTCCCACAGTGCGGTGACTGGCTGTTTCCTCCTGGGTCCCCGACACAGCCTCCTTCGTCCCCTGGCCACTGAGCACAGGCTCAGCCAGCCTCCACTGAACAACTGGGAAGAAAGGTGACATGGACTTGGGATTGGGACTGGGAAAGGGGAGACCAGTGGAGGATTTGTTCCGAAGACTGGGAGTCCCTCTCCTTCCCGTCATGGAAGGGAACGAACCCCCTAAGGCTCCTCCCTCATCAGGCTCCTCCTGGGGCCTGTGTCCTCTCCTGCCGCACACCTTCTCTCTCCTCTCCCTCCTCCAGCCTCTGGACCCTTCTGTCCTATAACCAACCCGGGGCTGTGGAGGTGGCCTGAGGACCCATATTTTCATCCTAACCACCACTTACCAACAGGGTAAGTGCGTAACATCCTGGTCCCTGCACATGCTCAGTAATGGTCAGTTCATTCCTCATCTCCTCCCTCCTCACCCCTCTTTGCCTCCCCAGGAGCAGAGCACGCCCCCAGGAGAAGGACGTGGTAGCTGCACCCCCTTAAAGCCCTTCCTCTGCCTGCCTTTGCCCACCTCACTCCTACAGCTAGAGAAGCAGGAAGGCAGCCAGTCTGGTTGGAGCTGGGGCCGTGAAGGGCAGGGGCAAAGGCACCTTGACACCCTCTTGGTCCCCCATCCCTCCAACATATATCCACATTCTCTCATATCCACGTGCACACACACGCACACACACACACACACACACACACATACCTACGCACACTGCTCCTCAGTGAGCACCCGAGGACTGACCCAGCCCCCTTCCAGACCGGGAGCTCCTCAAGGGCAGGGACACATCTCATTTCCCATTTTCTCCCTGTCCAGCCTCCAACGGGCACCAACAAATGACGAATAAATGACTAAGTGCAAGGGACACAGATCTTGCCGGATGTGGTTGTATTTGACATGTTCTGTGAGATCAAGGTACATTACAACTTTCGGGAAAGCTCTGAAACATGGAAAGGTAGGTCTCTACATCCCATGGCCTTTGGGGTGTCATCATAGGATGAGGCTTTAGGTTTCCAGAGATGGAAATAAGACTTTGTCTCCCTGCATCACTGCCTTCATGCACCTCCCACTCAGAAGAGCCAGGTGGCAGGAGCCAGGTTTCACGGAGCCAGACTTCGGAGGGCTGCGTCCCAGGCCCCAGAAGACTGTCCTCCAGCCCTTCGTTTCCCCAGGAGCCTGCACTCCTGAGTCAGCTGGGGGAGGGGCAGGGAAGGGTCGAGGGCCAGCAGGGTATCACAGGACAGTGGGGTCTGGACCCTGCTTGAAGACAATCGCCCTTAGGAAGGCACATCTGGGGGGGGCTGGGCTCAGGGTCCAGGGCCTCTGATTACCCGGGACCCCCAGCCCCAGGAGCGGGGCCTCAGGCTGGGCTGTGCCGCTGGAACCAGTGTAGACACACACAAGCAGGGGTAGAGGTGAGGACCTATGAATAACTGCCAGCACATTTTCCCCAGCGTGGCGGGCCAGGGGTTCATTAGGTTTAGGAACACACAAGGCCATCCACGCACAGGAGCCATGCACAAGTCACACACACGAAACATATTGGAGCCCAGGGTGAGGCAGGGGGCCTGGCCCTGACAACAGCTAGCGGGGAGCAAGGCTGTGTCTCTCCTTCCCACTTTCCAGCCACTGTCTTCCCTGGCAGCAGGGCAGCTCACAGGCCCCGGTGTGATTCTGCCCAAACTTCAGAAGGTTCCCTAGAAATGTCACCAAACTCCCTATTGAAACCACTGGTCTCCCGGGCCCCCCGCTCCCATCTCCACGAGCCCAGGGGATTCCAGGAGGATGTTGCCAATCTTCACTTGCTCCTGGAGCCCAGGAGGCAGCAGGTGGCAGGAGATTACACTCAGAAGAGCCTCTCCACTTGCCCAAGGCCACAGAGGCAGCTGGCAGTGGGTCAAGACTCAGACCCAGGTCTCTGGGCTGCCAGGCCTGGCCCCTTCTGCAGCTCCGGCCTTGACTGTGGGCAGCTGTGGTTGCCCCAGGAAGTCCAGTGAGCTGGACCCAGTGTGGGTGGGGAGACTGGGGGGCACCAGCTCTGGGTATGAACTGCTATTTATACCTCCTGCCTGGTCTTCCCATTCAGGCAGGCAGCCTGTGGTCTATGTCCCCAGTGGGAGACAGCTCCAGATGACACAGGGGGCAGGAAGGGGAGTTTGGAGACCCTGATGCATGAGCTGCCTGTGGCTCAATGCCAAGAGACATGGGCAGGGAGCCCCTAGGAACCAGAGGTACTGCCCTCTGGCCACACAGCACCCCCACTCAGGATACAAAAACTAGCATGCATGTGACTCTGGCAGAAAGGGCCGCCGAAAGCCTCTGAGCCGGGCGTGGTGGGTGTTGGCAGCCGAGCGGTGGGAGTGGTGGTGACGGGATGCCTCGTTTCCCTGGCAACATAGTGGCAACTGTTCCACAAATACCAACCAGTGGGTGCCAAGGCGGGACAGCCAGGAGTACTGAGGTCTGGGTCTGCCCAGCGACTACTGCCAGAAGCTATGTCCTCAGAGCGCCCCCGGCCTGGCCCCTTCCTCGGGGGATGCCCTGGCAGCTTGCTTCTGAGCGGATGTAGCCTTTCATCCAGCAAATCCCTTGCATCCCTGCACACACCCCTGCATTTCTCTGTACTCTCTCCGCCAGGAGTGTCCTTTCTCCTCTGGCCAGTGAGCTCCCCCAACCTTCATGTCTGCTCCAGACAGCCCCTTGCGTGGTCGCATGACTGCCCTGAAATCAACTCAGAGCAATCGGTGGAAAAGATAAGCTTTATCCAAAAGGCTTTGAGGAGGGCCATCTGGGTGGTTCAGTGGTTAAGTGTCTGCCTTTGGCTCAGGTCATGATCCTGAGGTCTTGGGATCAAGCTCCTTGGGCTCCCCATAAGGAACCTTCTTCTCCCTCTGCCTATGTCTCTGCCTGTCCCTTGTGAATTAAAAAAAAAAAAAAAAAGGCTTTGAGAAACCCTAGACAAGCAAATCAAGACAGAGGGAGTGGGTTAGGTCAAGGATGGAACTTCCAGGGTGAATAAACCATCATTTTCCAACAGCCATTGTTAGAAGCATCACAGAAAGAGCAATGTCTTTCACTGACTGGCCTGGAACAAGCTCATTTACCTCTTTGAGCCCCAGCATCCCCTTCCTTAAAATGGGGACATTGAAGGAGATGTTTTGTAAGGCCCTCCCAGTCTGAAAACTTCATAACTGTGATTCTGGGGTCCCCTCTTGCCCCTCTTTGAGGGTTGTCTATTTTCCCAGGGAGCTTACAACCTACGTGTCCAAGTCCTGCCTGGCCTTGTCCCATTGGACTCAGCCTAAGGCAGAGCGTACTCTACTTGGTTTTCTAGCATGGGCTCCCCAGGCTGGGGGCTCCCTGGAGAATCCCACAAGTGTCCCCAATCCATCTGGGGCTCTCTGCCACTCCCATATGCACCCTGCCAAGATTTTCTCAAGGACCTACAACAGCACTTCACTTGTTTTCTTCTCAGATTCTCTCCAAACACTTCCCCCCAGCCTGAAAAAGTTCTCACCACCTCTGTGGTAGGAAAAACACTTTATGTTGATGATGTGAAGTCCATGCTCAGAGGCCTCTGGACTTTGCTCATAACATTTAAACCAGGCTTCCGGGGAATATGGCAGATTGAACATCTAATTTCAATCCCTTGCAAAACCCTACTAGAACTATAGTAAAGAGGTTCATATATGTGCATATGTACACACACACACCCCAAAATAGACCATAATGATGTTTTTAGAAGCTGGAAAGCAGATGGAAGAGGAGTAACTGACTTAGCAGACCCAAGAAAGGAAGATCTCAATCCCACAATGAAGGAAAGTGAGAACTAACTAGATGTACACCTCGGAATTCTCAAGGAACCAGGAGTGTCAGGAACTTCTGGAACTCAAGATAAAGGGGTGGCTGAAATAAGGAGGATTCATTTAAAGTAGTCAAAGAAGAAGTTGGGTCTCTTGGTCCCTTCTACTTTCCCCTAATGGGCATCTGTCCTTTCCCATCCCAGGAAAAGACTGGAGATTTATATCCTGGAAAAGGTAAAGAGTGGCTCTTTGGGTTGCAGGATGCCAAGCACAGCTGAGGTCATACATTCTCACCACAAACAGCAGGACTAAGTGCATGTGTGACTTCTGAATGCCAAGACAGCTGCCCCCACACCTGCGTGAAACCTAAAAGCTAAGTCTTTGCTTGCCCCTCTGGAGGAGACCTCTAGAGAAATGAGACCTAGTGTGTGTCTGTATTCATCCCATACATTCATGTGCAGGCTCATCACTGTGGTATTTCAGAATACCGTGGACCAAGAGGAGATCCTATAAGCTTCCAGAGACAGGAGACAAGTCACATTCAAAGAGCTAGGCATGGAGGCACCTGGGTGGCTCAGTCAGTTAATCATCTGACTCTTGATCTCAGCTGAGGTCTTGATTTCAGAGTTGTGAGTTCAAGACCCATGTTGGGCTCCATACTGGGTGCAGAGCCTACTTATATATAATATATATATAAGTTATATATATATATATATATATATATATATATATATATATATATTCTGCGACCCAACACAGAAGAGCAGCAGAAGGTCCCCAAATGAGGCTAGCACAGATGCCGGGTGACAACTGAGCCCCAGACCCAGAGTGGTAGGTTCAGAAGGTAAGAAGGAGCCAGAGAATGGACTTCAGGAAGATAAAACCAAAAGATCCCCTGATGCTTCTGCATCTCTTCAGAAAACATTTAGACAAGTGAAAGCCCAGAGTGGGAATTGGTGATAAATACACAGAAAAATCAGACTATGAAACGAGACGATGATTAACTTCAGGAATAACAAAAATCGGGGATCCCTGGGTGGCTCAGCGGTTTGGCGCCTGCCTTTGGCCCAGGGCACGATCCTGGAGCCCCGGGATCGAGTCCTGCATTGGGCTCCCGGCATGGAGCCTGCTTCTCCCTCCCTCTGCCTCTCTCTCTCTCTCTCTCTCTATGTCTATAATAAATAAATAAATCTTTAAAAAAAAAAGGAATAACAAAAATCTGTAGAGCAGGAAAAGGATTCATAATTCACCACATTCTTTTAACTATAGAACGTGTTTCCATGGCTTCATATCATAGATTTACTTGATCTAGCCAAAGTCGCCTCCTAATTCAATAGGGAGGGAAGATGGTCCTCGTGTCTGGGAAGAGCAGGGGTAGAAAATGTGCTCGATTTCCATCTTCATACTGGAAAGTCAATAGATAGCGTCTACACCCAAAAACTAGAAAGTGATCATGCAAGCATGTTACCTAGAGATGTAGAGGCCAGCCCAGATCATCGGGGAGAAGGGGGGGGCTGAGTGAGAGTGACTACTTCAGGGAAGGAAACATGGGTAGGAGGGGCAGGGGAGTCCCGTTGTGTTTTCCCACAGACCTTCTGGAACTCTTTGATTCCTTAATAGATCCTAGTCCATAAAACTAAAAGCAAAGGAGAAAAAGAAGTGGCATGGCTTACTCCTATCTTTGTTCTAGCAAGTAGTGGCGTTCCCATGGGTAAAAGTGGGACACCATTGAGGGACACGGGTAGGTTGACCAGAGTCTTTTCTGTTTTTTTAATTTAAATTTTAGGTAGTTAACATACAGTGTGATATTGGTTTCTGGAG